TGTCAGTAGGTCCTCTATGTAAAATAACGGGGTATTCAAATCGGCGAGGAACGTGGTAGAAAATCAGAGAAAATTTAAGTGATAAAAATTCACTTAAGGCTGGTATATCTGTAGCTATTACAGTTGAAATCGCAGGTCTTTCTCTAGATGCAATTAAAATTGTTAGAGTGGAAGCGCCATTCAGTTGTATAAAAGGATTTGGATATTTTTGCCACCAAAATCAAGTGAAGAGAAGTAAAGAACTCTGCAAATCCCCTATTTATGATATATGAGAATGCAGAGTTCTAATGTGTATATTAGATTACATAGTTGGTGAGCTCATACTCTGCTTTTATCATTAAAATTGTCTACTTTTACCCCGGTCATTGATTGTGGTGTAAATGAATTACTTGAATTGCGTATTAATATACTACATAATAGTGATATGGTACTATCTTCTTTCTTTAATACTACTTGAATCACGAGCTGACACTTCAAGTAAAGGCCCATCTTTACTACCTGTTGGTATAGGACCCTGAAATTTATAAATGGTAGGTTTTTTCGTCTATATGATTAAGAGAACATATATGTAATATGTTTGGCTCAAGAAAAGCAAATTTTTTATTTTGCGCCATATATTCCAAACATCTTATTTTGTCCTTACTCGAAAAAATGCTGTATTATGATAATGGTTAAGCAAATATTCATTTTTAATTCTCTTGCCGTTCTTAATCTTCTTTACTACTTCTGTTATATTAAATGTAAAATATTTGTTGTTTATACTTTATAATTGCCAGCCAATCTACTGGCTTGTTTGTGATTGAAGTAATGTATTGATATTTAGTACAAATCCACTGTTTAGATCGCTCAACTTGAATAAATTTCTCTCCATGATCCCTTCTGTCCCAATTAATGCCTTTCTCCATTTTTATTTTGTTTTAAGCGCCAAGCAACTGCAGTTTTCTCTTTTATATTATTTTGTCAGTAACAACTAGCCGTGTTCATTTACCTCTAGCTTAGTAACTTCAACTTATGTTTCTTTTGTTTGAAAGTAGCTATTACCTTCATTTACAAGACTCTTGATGTTAATATTCTTCTGTAATGCTACAATGTCTAATTGCTTAACTACATGGATACTGATTGATAGATTGATTTCCTACGCGTTAAACAATAAACTTTCAATGTATTCTTTTTACTAGTTGCTTCTTCGGGTAAGATAACTGCAATTTTATCTCTTTTGGGTGAGTGTTTTGCAATGCAAGAGATACCCGATCCTTAAATTCATTAAAAGACTGAGACCCATGTCATGTTCGTATGCTTTTGCTGGATATAGAGGTTTGATCAGCGGTTTTACTTTATTGCTTCAATTGCTATTATTTTTATAGGTCAGCAGTTCGTAAATCATGCTACCCGCATGAATAAATGTTATAGCAACCTGTGCTGGGAACGTCCGTGTTGGATTTGATTGGCAAAGATAATTAAATAAATTTCCTGGCATAGCTATAATTTCTTCAATACAATACTATTATGGCATAATTAACATGCCAAAGTCAATAAAATCTTAAGTTAAAAGATTAATATATTATATATCTTGAATAAGAAAGAGACTTGTGAAGATAAAGAAAATATATGAGTATAACGTGGTGCCGGCTGTCGGACTTGAACTAACAACCTACTGATTACAANTTTTGTCAGTAGGTCCTCTATACAAAATAACGGGGTATTCAAATCGGCCAGGAACATGGTAGAAAATCAGAGAAAATTCAAGTGATAAAAAATTCACTTAAGGCTGGTATATCTGTAGATATTATAGCTGAAATCACCGGTCTTTCTCCAGATGCAATTAAAAAATTGTTAGAGGGAAGTACCATTTAGTTATGTAAAAGTATTTAGCTATTTCTGCCCCCAAGTCAAGTGCAGAGAAGTGAAGAACTCTGCACTCCCCCTATTTATGATATAGGAGAATGCAGAGTTCTAATATGTATATAGTATTATATAGTTGGTGAGCTCATACTCTGCTTTTATCACTAAAATTGTCTACTTCTACTCCGGTCATTGATTGTGATGTAGTAGATGATCTATTACTTAATATACTCGAATTACCATAACAGCCCATTAGTGCTATTGATAAGGGGTCTTCCTCTAGTGATAATGAACTACTTGAATTGCGTGTTGATATTCTACCCAGTAGTGATATGGTACTACCTTCTTTACTACTGCTTGAATCACGAGCTGATACTTCAACTAAAGGCCCATCATTGCTATCTGTTGATATTGATGATACGTTTTCCAATGAATTACTATGATCACTTGAATCGCGAGTTGATACTTTATTTAGTGATGTACTCTCTTCATCGCTATTGCATTTACTTGGCCCGATACTCTGATGGTCTGTTGCTATTGATGTTACGTCTTTCAATGAATTACTGTGATCACTAGGGTCGTGTGTTGATGCTCTATTACTACTTCCACACTCCATATTATTAAGTTCGTACGTAGATTCAGATACATTGCGACTACGACGGTACTTATTATATATCCAAATCCCAAATGTTAGTAACCCAGCCACACCAATAGCTCCTACTGTCGATAATGCAGTTACTCCACCATTATTGTTGGATTTACCTGCAATACCAAGCAGTGATGCTTGTGTAGTCCTACCTGCCATTGTGTAAGGTGATGTTGTAGGTAGTTCTTGAGCAGCAGTTGGGTTTGCAGTTCTTTCACTTACTGCAACTGTGGTTGGTATTATATATCGTATTGGAGTTGTAGGCTGTTCTTCAGCAGCAGTTGTTGCAGCCTGGGTTGGCGGTATAGATTGTTTTTTAGCAGTAGTAGGTTTAGTTGTAGCTGCAGCTGCAGCTGTAGTTCTTTTAATTGTTGCTCCTGGAGTTGTAGATTGTTTGGTAACAACAGTAATTTCATCAGGAGTGCTTTTACTTGTTGTAACTGTAATTGGAGTTGTAGGTTGTTCTTCAACAGCAGTTGAAGCCGCAGTTGTTGCAGCCTGGGTAGGAGTTGTAGATTGTTTGGTAATAACAGTAATTTCATCAGGAGTGCTTTTACTTGTTGTAACTGTGATTGGAGTTGTAGATTGTTTTGTAGCAATAGTTGGAGCTGCAGTTGTTGTAGCTGGGGTTAATGTTGTAGCTACAGTGGTGCTAGAAGCAATGTTTGGCGGTAATTGACCGTGGATGATGTTCAGAAAGTCATTTAGGTTTTGAATTGTGTTTATTGGTTTTATTTCGTATGTAGGTTGTTGTGTAGCGTGATCTATATGAACAACTATAATATTTCCTTCACTTACTGCGGTAGCAATGATATTACCTTGATCATTTTCTTCAATATATAGCTGCTCTATAGGACCTTGAAATTCATAAATGGTAGGTTTTTCGCCTATATTATTAAGAGAACATATATGTAATGTGTTTGACTCAAGAAAAGCAAATTTTTTGTTTTGTGCCATATATTGCAAACATCTTATTTTGTCCTTACTCGAAAAAAGTGCTGTATTATGATCATGGTTAAGCAAATATTCATTTTTATTAATTCCCTTGCCGTTCTTAATCTCCTTTACTGCTTCTGCTATATTAAATGTAAAAATATTTGTTGTTTCTACTTTATGATTGTCAACAATTTGCTGGCTTGTTTGTGAGTGAAGTAATGTGTTGCCATTTAATGCAAATTCACTATTTGAATCACTCAACTTGAATAAATTTCTTTCTATGATGCCTTCTGTCCCAATTAATGCCTTAAATTCTCCATTTTTATTTTGTTTTAAGTACCAAGCAACTGCAGTTTTCTCTTTTAGATTATTGGCAGTAACCACTATGCCGTGTTCAACTTTACCTCTAGCTTTAGTAACTTCAACTTGTGTTACCTTTGGTTGAAAGTAACTATTACCTTCATTTGCAAGACTTTTGCTATTAATATTCTTCTGTAATGCTACAGTATCTAATTGCTTAACTACAGGGCCACTGATTGATAGGTTGATTTCATAAGTGTTAAACAATAAACCTTCAATGTATTTTTTTCCTTGTTTATTAGTTGCTTCTTCAGGCAAGATAACTGCAATTTTATCTGTTTCAGGTGAGTGTTTTACCAATGCAAGAGATACCTGATCCTTAAATTCATCTAAAATACTGAAACCCATATCATACTCGTATGCTTTTGCTGGATATAGAGGTTTGATCAGCAGTTTTACTTTATTGCTTCCATTGCCATTGTTTTCATAGGTCAGTCCGTAAATCACGTTACCTCCATGAATAAATGTGCTAGCAACCTGTGCTGGCAATGTCTGTGTTGGATTTGATGGGTAAAGATAATTAAATAAATTTCCTGGCATAGCTATAATTTCTTCAATAAAACACTATTATGGCATAATTAATATGCCAAAGTCAATAAAATCTTAAGTTAAGAGATTAATATATTATTTATATTGAATAAGAAAGAGACTTAATGAAGATAAAGAAAATAGATAAGTATAACG